CTCAGGATAGTGCTGAATTCCTGCTAGAGCAGAAAACAAGAAGTTAGTTTAACTACTGACCTGGCTGCTTTAGATTAAATAAAATTATTGAATCTGTTAACAGCGTGAGGCTCCTCAGCTTGGGAAACAGTTTTTCCCAATTTACTTTTAGAGGAATTTAAGGTTTCACTTACATTTAGTAAACAATATTTAAGTCAATAGAAGCCAAGCTTTTTAAAGCCAAGGTAAATTAAAAAGAATCAGGTCTTTTTACTAAAGCTGTGTGGAGTAAGGAGTTTGAAATAATATAAAATATAGGACAAATGTAGTTTTTTAAAAAAAAATTTAATGTTTATTTTTGAGAGAGAGAAGGAGAGACAGCGTACAAGTGGGGGAGGGACAGAGAAAGAGGGAGACAAAGAATCCGAAACAGGCTCCAGGCTCCGAACTGCCAGCACAGAGCCCGATGCGGGGCTTGAACCCATGAACCTCAATATAGTGACCTGAGTCGAAATTGGATGCTTCTCCTACTGAGCCACCCAGTTGCCCTGAGAGTTGTGTTTTTTTGAAAAAGGCAGTGGCTTTAAATTAATTTGACTTTAACATCTGAATAACAATCCAGATACCTGACCAAACAGGCTTCCTCTTGGTCAGATGATAGACCAGATAGGGTTGGGGTTGCTGTCTTCCCACCAGGTTGATATTTTTTACTTTTTGGTATCTTATTAGTGTCTTTCATAAGCTGTATTCAACATGAAATGGCAAAGTAAGGCCAGCAGTGATTGTTCTGTCACAGTTCTCTGGCTTTGATGAGTCATTGCAGTACAGCCCTCTGAACCAAGTGCCGATAAGAATAGACACACAAAAGGAAAATAAAACAACCGAGAGCTGAAGCAGAAATTGCTGGGAGCTCAGAAGTATGTTCACAGCTCTGCTGTATTCAGCTGCGTGACCTTGTGCATGTCAGAGTCTTCTCATGCATAAAATAAGGTTTCTAGGCTTTCTTGAAGTTTGGTCAAAGACTTTGGAGTTTAATATTCACTAAGAGAGGTAGGAGATAAAGCCCTTTCAAGATCACCACGATTCAGGATTTATGTAATTATAGTAGCTTCGTTGACTGTTGGAAAACAGCAGTGGCAGATGAGTCAGCCTGGCATGTAGCTATTGGAGACCAGTGATGCTTTTTTTGTTACAAAAAGACTCGACTACAGCATAAGTTGAGGTGCCAACGGTCAAGGTGATGCCAAGTTCCGGAAATAGCAGCTAGGATATTGTACAGAGGACAGGATGGAGGGGATGTTTGTCATGAATTGATTTTCCTAGCCAAACCTCCGCTTCGCTTTCCCTAGGGAAGACGCTCATGGGAGAGACAAGAAAAGTGTAACATCCCCATCTAGCAGATAGTCCACCCCACACGTGTTGCTTGGGATGTCACTACCAGTGACTGAGAAGAGGCAGCTGTGGTATTTCCAACCTTCTTTCTCTGCCTGGTTTGGTTCTCCAAGGGGAGATGTGAGAGGACTCTAGACAAAGCATGCTTTTTTTTTTTTTTTTTAAGTTTATTTATTTTGAGAGGGAGAGAGAGAATTCCAAAAAGACTCTGCACTGTCAGCGTGAAGCCTGATGTGGGGCTTGAACTCACAAACTGTGAGATCATGATGTGAGCCAACACCAAGAGTCAAATGCTCAACCGACTAAGCCACCCAGGTACCCCTAGACAAAGCATGTTTTGTACTAGGCATGCCAGCTGCAAACCTCTGGAGTAAATGTGGACTCCTCTCAAGACGGGCAGATCTGAACATCCATCCTCATCCTCCCTCTGGGCCCTTTCTCCAATAGTTAGAGAAGAGGGAGCCTATGGGCCTGGCACAGAGCTCACCTAACCTGCTTATTCTGTGCCTCCCCACACGCTTCAGCTCTGCCCACCACAGGCTGGTGCAAGTACCCAGGTATAATAGGAAGGGGTTGGGTTGAAGGGGACGGGGTCATGGTAGACCTCATTCTGCCTTCCAGCTGCAGCACGTCCTGGCTGTGAAATCTGGAGTAAGCTGCTTAGCTCACGTGGTGTGGCAATATTAATAGTCTACATGCAGGTAACCACTTTGTAACTTCAACCATATGAAATTACATTTTAACTTAAACCATATGAAAATATCTCCTCCTTGAAGGAAAGAGAGTGAAGCTGGGCAGAAGACTAGGCCTTGATCTTTCCCCGACTCCATCCCTCCAGAGGCAAGAGTGTGTCATACACACAAGGCAGATTTGATGTCACAGATCCCCACCTCCTTACACAGGCCCCTAGGACACTGAATTTCAAACTCCGTAAGCAGCAGTCTACTTCTTAAAAACCTTACACAGAAGTGTAATACATAAAATGAGTAAAAGTAGGCTTTTGTTTATAAAAACATGCTTAAGTTGAAATTTATAATAAACCCAGTAAGAATTATGGAACAGTTTTGATTAATACAGGAATTTGAAATAGAGGAGATAATAGATGGCTGGTGTGGTCTTTTTCCTATAACATAGGTAAGTAATTGCAAATGATGTATCTTTAAAACAATTCTCCTTCCAATCAAGAGATATTGGTCAATTAGAAAAGAAAAGCCTTATGCTGAATATATAGACCACGAACATTTCTGTGTTCATGTGTAACATTTGAATGAACTTCTAAATTACTGTATTTTTTTCAAAATGCTGTACTTTTAAATTTATTATTAATTTATTCTTGAGAGACAGATCAAGAGTGGGGGAGGGGCAGAGAGAGAGAGATACAGAATCCGAACAGGTTCCGGGCTCCGAGCTGTCAGCACAGAGCCTGACACGGGGCTTAAACTCATGAACCATGAGATCATGGCCTGAGCTGAAGTTGGACACTAAACTGACTGAGCCACCCAGATGCCCCAAAGAATAAAGTAAATGTTAAAATATCTGAAACACATCTCAAGGTTTGGCAGAAGGCTTGAAACACTCCCTTAGATCTTGGGGCACTCAGGCCCCACATTTGCGGCCTGTTTCCTATTTGGTTGTGGTGTGTGTGCATTTTGGAGATCCATGCAGTTTTCAGTACTGAGGGCCATTTGGTATAAAAAGCGGTTAAGTTTGAATAAGGTCTGCAGCCTGGTTGACAATATTTCATCAGTGTCAATTGCTTGTTTTGATAGTACACTGTAAGTAAGTATGTGAAATAATATTGTCAGGGAAGGATGCATGAAACTCTCTGTACTGTTTTTGCAGTTGACTCTGAGTCTATAATTACTTCAGAATTTAAAAGGAAAAGAAAAAGTGTTGGAAAAGGATATCTTCTACTTTGGAGGGAGTTGACAGAGTAGTGTACACATCACACTGACAGAGTAAATCTCCAACTGTCTTACCTTTAAAAAAAAAAAAAGGCGTCTTTTCTTTCCTTGTCACTGAATTCTGTATCCTCCCTGCACACCCACTCTCTCACCTACTGTGACACAGTGGAAGTTTTGAAAAGAAAACACAACCAATGGCAAATTAAAGAGAGCTCTCTTTTGGGAAATCTATTTTAGCTGCTAATTAATTACTTAACAAGAAAATGATGCTGATACCCAAGAGTTCAATCTGCAGTCACCTGATACGGAAAAGGTATATGAATGATGTGACATGTTCTTCTTCTTTTTTAATTAATTGTCAAATTGGCTAACATACAGTGTGTAAAGTGTGCTATTTGTTTTGGGAGTAGATTCCCATGGTTTATTGCTTACATACAACACCTAGTGCTCATCCCAACAAGTGCCCTCCTCAGTGCCCGTCACCCATGTTCCCCTCTCCTCTACCCCCCATCTACCCTTAGTTCTCTGTATTTAAGAGTCTCTTATGGTTTGCCTACCTCCTCTCTGTAACTATTTTTTCCCCTTCCCCTCTCCCATGGTCTTCTGTTAAGTTTCTCAAGATCCACATATGTGAAAATATATGATATCTCTGACTGATTTCACTCAGCAGAATACCTTCCAGTTCCATCCACGTTGCTGCAGATGGAAAGAGATCATTCTTTCTCATTGCCAAGTAGTATTCCATTGTACATATAAATGTGGCATGTTCTTCTAATGCATTCCTATGCTTAAAACATTTAGTAATTAGGCTGAACCATTATCAACATGCTATAGTATCATATAGTCACATGTCCAAATCAGAGGGCCTGAGGGCCCAGTGCAATGACACTTTGTGACAAGTATTATTCTACAGGAGAAAAAAAATGAAGGACTAAAGATAATTTTAAAAGAATAACCTTTGAGGGGTACCTGGGTGGCTCAGTCTGTTAAGTGCCCAACTTTGGCTCAGGTCATGATCTCAATGGTTCATTGTTTCAAGCCCCACGTTGGACTCTGCACTGACAGCTCAGGGCCTGGATGCTGCTTCAGATTCTATGTTTTCCTCTCTCTCTCTGCCCCTCCCCCTGCTTGCACTCTGTCTTTCTCTCTCAAAAATAAACATTAAAAAAAAGTAAAAAAAAAAAAAAGAATAAACCATTGATCCATTCACTTCTCAGTCTGTAGAGTAAAAGTGGGCATGGCAGTAGAGAAATGTGGTTATCCTGGATTTTACTGTGTGCTGTAAATTCCTGCACTGCTTTGTTCTCTGTAAGATTGATGGTGGGTTTTGCCCTTTATCACTTGGAGAAATGCAACAGAACTCCCCGAGCCTGCTTGTCTGTCTTCATTGTAATTGCCAAAAGAGTGATTGTCTCCTGTGCTTTGACTAAAATGGATTGGGGGCGGGGGGCGGAGGAGTGAAGCTTACATCTGTCAGACAGCTGGGAAGGTGAGCTGGGCTCAAAACAATGGTTTAGTAAATGTTTTAGTGTGTGCTAACGTAATTCCGTTTGTAGAAAAATTAGTGTACTCGGGCGCAGAACATACCAAGACCATAGGGTCCTGTGCACTAGGTAGGGCTTTAGTTTTGTGTCTGTTGTGGAGACCGCCTAGACTACCCCTTGAGACTGAGCTCTGAGCTTTCCAGAAATCACTGTCTGACCACTCTCCTGGCTTCTTCTTCAGGGTCATCAATGCCGGGAAGAGCACACACAATGAAGACCAAGCCAGCTGTGAGGTACTCACTGTGAAGAAGAAAGCAGGGGCCATTACCTCAACCCCAAACAGGAACTCCGCTAAGAGACGGTCTTCCCTTCCCAATGGGGAGGGTCTGCAACTGAAGGAGAATGCGGTAAGACCACCCTCCTTCACCCCCAGTTCTCTGGTGAGAGGAACCTGCTCATTTTGTCCCTGCTGTGAGGCGCTTGAGCTGAATCCTGGTCTCTAATGGCAGAGAGAAAGGCAGTGTCCCCCAGTGTCCCCAAAGTTAGTGGACTGGCGGGTCTGTACTCCGGGTATCACACAGTCAAAGCTGAAGGTGACACACGTGTGAAGAGCTGGTGTTCATTAGGTTCTTAATGCTTAGAGTAAATAAAACACCTATATCATATAGGCTTTGTTGCAAGAATTAGTGTCTATAATGTTCAGTGGTGGTAAAGGAGCCATTCCAAGGTTTCTATGAAGGAGATGGGATGGAAGGATAGAAGGAACCCTAGGCATTGACTTACAGGCCTGCCACGGTTTGCCCCCTCTTCCCCTTGCCTCTCTGTTAGCACTGTCCAGTGGGAGCCTCTGCCTGGCTCTCTTCCAAATTAGTACTTGGCTTTTAATTGGCCCAAAGCCCTTGTATCCCAGGGGGTAGCCCTGCAGACATGAATGCCCTATTGACAAACCACAAAGTGTTTCTCCTTTCTTCAGTTTCTAGAGAATAAAGCAGATATCCCCAGAAAACTTTCTTTCCTTTTTTTTTTTTTTTTTTTTTTTTTTGAGGAGGTTCCATGTGGGGCTTGAACTCACGACCCTGAGATCAAGACCTGCACTGAGACCAAGAGTCGGATGCTTATGTCACTGAGCCACCCAGGCACCCCCTCAGAAAGTTCTGAAGAAACCCTCAGAAAAGTGTAGGGAGTAACCCGGACTCTGTCCACCAGCAGGTTCTTTAGCTTACAGAAAAGAAATTTTGAATGACATGATCCAAATGTGACTTTTTCTTCTAAAAGTCTCGAGGATATTTTTGTGTATACATTTTTATAAGATTGTAAAGGATCTAGGAATCTTTTCTCAGTGTCAGAAACAGCATCCTGTTGCATTTACCCTTACGGACTAAGACTACTCATTTTGTCTGTACTAGTTCAACTTAGTTAGAAACACAGTGACCTATGGAGACTCCTCAGTTGTACTTGTGTTCAGGGCTGAAGGAAGCACGTAATGGGCCAGAAGTGCCAGAGCCCAGGATTCAGATGGGCAGTAAGGAAAATAGTGATTAAGGGCACAGGCTCTGGAGTGGTATGGTTCAGAGCAGTCCATCCTAGTCTATCACTTATTAAACCATTTAATTTTAGGATATCAGTGCTTTGAGGCTTCGTTTTCTATAAAATGGAGCAATAATAGTACCACCAAGTATGGTAGGAAGAGACTGATTAGAAGTATGAAACCCAATTGTCCATGGAAATGTTGAGCCAGAGTCTTAATAAATCCTTGATAAATGCGAACAGTTACCCTACAGTCAGCCCCACTTCAGTGATTCTCTGTGGGTAACGTCCACTGAATTTGTACCTTTACCCCTTTGTAAATTGGAGATCATACAATCGCCCTTCATACCTATGTGATAGGATTGTTTTTGAGGACTGAGTTATTATGGAAAAGTGCTCAGAGAACGTGAATTATTAATGATAGTGAGATATGAGTGCCAGTGACTTAATGTGGCTCTTTGTCCCCTGATAGTCTCCTCTGCCACTGAGATGTGAAGTGATTCTGTAAAAATTAACATGGAGGGAGGGGCGTGCCTGGGTGGCTCACGCGGTTAAGCATCCGACTTAGACTCGTGTCATGATCTCGGGGTTCGTGAGTCCAAGCCCCTCTTTGGGCCCTGTGCTGACAGCTCAGAGCCTGGACCCTGCTTCAGATTCTCTCTCTCTCTGCCCCTCCCCTGTCTCTCTCTTTCAAAAATGAATAAACTTTAAATAAACTAAAAAAGAAAAAACTTTAAAAAATATTCTAAAAATATTAAAAAAAAATAAGTCAGCATTGACATTTGGTTCAAGACCAGTTGATGATGTCATTTTTCCTTGGTGCTCAGTTCCTCCTAGAAATGGAGCCGGGAGTAACTTTTTAACTTCGTTTCCTTGAGAACAGTCAAGCCAGTGCATAAGCCCTTGAGGGTGGAGCCACAAACCTCCCCTGAGAGTCCTGAATCTCTGGGTTCCATGTTCTAGGAGGCAGCACGGAGGTGCCAAGCAGAGTGGCACATCCCATCCCTCCATTTCTTGCTTTAGCTATAGCAGCTTTACTTATAGCTGCTGTACGCATTAGGCTTTAGTATTTATTAGAGTTTCAAGCAAGAGATGTGCTGCCTTTTTTTTTTTAATTGTGGGAAAATATACATAACATAAAATTTACCATTTTACCATTTTTTTAGCTGTTCAGTTTTGTGGCATTAAATATGTTCTTAGTATCACTACCATCTGTCTCCAGAGCTTCTTCTGAAATTGAAGCTCTGTACCCATTAAGGCCTAACCCCCATTTCTCTCCAACCCCCCGCCCCTGGCAACTGCCATCCTACTTTTTGTCCCTATACATTTGACTGCTCTAGGTATTTCATATAAGTGGAGTCATACAATATTTGTCATTTTTTGTCTGCTTTATTTCCCTTATGTTTTCAAGGTTCATCCATGTTGTAGAATGTGTCAGAATTTTATTTTTTTTAAGTTTATTCATTTATTTTGAGAGAGATGGGGGCGGGGGGGAGCCCATAAGTGGAGTAGGGCAGAGAGAGAGAATCCCAAGCAGGCCCCATACTGTCAGGTGGAGCCTGATTCAGGGCTTGAACTCAGGAGTCATGAGATGATGACCTGAGCCAAAATCAAGAGTGGAACGCTAAACCAACTGAACCACCCAGGTGCCACTCTTATTAAGTCTTAATAAAGAATAAAATTCTGAGGGTCGCCTGGGTGGCTTTGTCAGTTAACCATTCCATTCTTGATTTTGGCTCAGGTCATGATCTCATAGTTTGTGAGACTAAGCTCATGTCTGGCTCTGTGCTGACAGCGTAGAGCCTGCTTTGGATTCCCTCTGCCTTTCTCTCTCCCTGTCTCTCTCTTTCTCAAAATATATAAACTTTATTTTAAAAAGACTGAATAATATTCCACTGTTTGTATACCATTAACACCATTTTGTTTATTAATTTGACCATCAGTGGGCACTTGCTTCTCTGTTTTGACTATTCTGAATAGTATCGCCATAAACAGGGGTCTACAGATAGCTGTCAGTCCCTGCTTTCATTTCTTTTGCCTGTCTGCCCAGAGTGGAATTGCTGGATGATAGTGTAATTTGGCTTAATTTTTTGAGGAACCACCATACTGTTTTCCACAGCACTGCACCATTTTATATTTCCACCAGCAATGCACAAGGGTTCCAATTTCTCTATATCCTCGCCAATGCTTGTTGATTTCTGGTGTTTTATTTTAGCCATCCTAATGGGTGTGAAGTGGTATCTGATTGTGGTTTTGTATTGCCCTAATGATTATTGATGTTGAGCATCTTTGTGTGTGCTTATTGGCCAGATATATCTTCTTAAAAGAAACATCAAGGGTTCTTTATTCAGTATTTATTTATTCTATATGTGAGTCCTTTGCTCATGTTTAAATTAGGCTGTCAGCTATGTTGTTGTTGATAGCACTGCTTTTTAAAAGCTTGAAAAGCATGACTTGCTGGGTCACGTAAACTACTGAGCACTTGCTGCATACCGAGAACTAGATGCTGAGGATTTATCAGGGAATAAAATTGACTAAAATCCTTACCTGCAAGAAACTTAGACCCATTAAGGGAGACAAACGATTACAGTGTATCCCATGGCAGATAATAAATACTATGGAGAAAAGCACAGCAGAGGTTTAGGAATACAGGAAGTGAGGTGCGTGGATGGTTAAAGAAGGTGCCACTGAGAAGGTGATGTTTGGGCACAGACTGGAAAGTGTAGTTATTTGGAGGAAGAGCTTTCTGACATTCTAGACAAGTGCAAGGCCCCTGAGGCAGGAACCCACCTAGTATTCTTAAGAATCACCAAGGAGGTGCCTGTGGCTAGAGCAGAGAGAATGAAAAGTCTGTATTGCAGGAGATGTCATAAAGGCCATGAGAGTGGGGTGAGGAGATTTGGTAGGACTTTGAAGGCCATTATCAGGACTTCAGTTTCTATTCTGAGTGAACAGTTTGCCAGCAGGGCACAGCAGATATACTGCTAAGAAGAAGCCATTTAGAAGACATCCCTTAACTCAAATACGGTGGCACTTAGAAAAGATGTTGATAGTGTAGGGCACAGTACAATCCTCTGCAGGAGACAAGGTGCATCAGCCCCTTCCTCCCTGTGAGTCTGTTTCTTTACCCACCGAACATGCATTGAGCATTGAGTCGTCCTTGGGGATTAGGAGGTGAACTCAGTGCAGTTCCAGTCCTCCTAGAGCTTAGTTGAGGAGGGAGAAAGAGTCAGTAACCGGCAGCAGCACAATGGAGTGCATTTTTAGGAAAAAGATTTAAAAAATCCAGGTTGTAGGGAAGCCTAATTCAGATGGGTCACCAGTGGTTTGAGGAAAAATAGCGGAGAAGGAACGGGTCAGATGAAGGAATGCTTCCTGGAGAAAGTTACATCTGAGCTGTCGTTTAAAAACCCGAATAGGAATTAATCAAGCAAATAAAAGAAAGGGGAGGTTTTAACAGAGGGAACATGCATATGCAAAGACAGGTTGATATAAGAGCACATGACACATGTCTTCTAGTGTTTTGAGGCACCTGTGATCACTTGGAAGGTGATCAGACAGAAACAACAAGCTGAGTTCATACACAAGAGCTGGAATTATAACCAAATGACATTAGACAAGGGTATCACGGAATCAAGACCATGAGAGCAGTGGGAAGGCTGACTTGGGAAGGTTCAGGAAGCAAACCTAGAGGCTGGGATGCCTAGGAGACTGGCTTGTGCAGAAACATGAGAGAGAAATGATGAGAGCTTGAAATAAAGCTGTGACTAGAGCAAGGAGCAGGCTCCAAACAGATGAGGGTGAGACACACAGTAGAGGTGACCAGATGACCTACTGCATGGGACAGTGAGGAGGTGAAATACCAGGTTTCAGCCACTGG